AACCTAATCAACTCTATCCCTTTGGTTTTCTATCAAATGCTAATTTATGGAAATCTGAAACAAAGAAACAAGTATTTAGAGCAACTAAAACTGTTAATTCCTGATGAAAATAAGGAACTTTTGAGCTCTGGGCAGATTAATTTTGTGTAGGTGTAGTAGTTTACTCTCCTACCTATCAGATGACCTCCAAGGCCTCTGAATAAAGTCCTTGAAAATAGCAATTGACACAGCATCCCTGTCACACTAATCAAAGCAGCTTTATTCATAACAGCCGCAAGTGGAGACTACCTAAGTTGTCATCAGCTCATGGAGAAATAAATGATGGTGTTGCCATGGTTAAACAGTGCACAGAAATAAAAGTCATGATATTTGTACATGGATCAAAATGAATCGCGCAGAAAGAATATTCATTATCAGCTGTTTTTACGTGCTGCCGCCATTGGTCTGATGATTTTCCTTTTTTCATTGTTGTGTTGTTGTGTTGTGCTTGTTTCTGCCTTTGTGTTGTGTTATTCTCCCTTTACTTTTTAAAATTTCATGGCATTGCCCTGGGTTAAGTTTCCTCTCTGGTAAGAAGACAAATGCGGCTGGTAAATTTTTTTTTTTTTTTTTTTTTTTTTTTTTAATCGGTACCAGGGATCGAACTCACGACTGCCTGCTTGCAAGGCAGACGCTTATGCCACTGAGCTAAATCCCCAGCCTCTCCCGCAATTTTAACTGCTATGCTGTGGGAGTTTTTGGGACTCAGCGCTTGTGTCACAAAACAGATCCCTGTCCAAGCACATTCTCCCCCCTCTGCACCAAGCACCGCCCACTGGGAGCTCTTTCCTTCCTTTCAGTACAATCAGTCACCGTGTTTGTACATTTTAGGTAACACTAATATCTACCTAATATTCTCTCCTTCTTGTTACCTCTGTAAAATTGTATTTAATTGCTCAATGAAATATTTTCCAACTGAAATCAGTGTTTTTACTGAAGTGAAATGAACCATCATTTTTCCATTAAAATATACTTACTTTGCATTTAATATTTTTTCATTGAAAGTTAAAGTTTCCACAGTCAAATTAATGCCATGGTGTGATTTCCATGAAGAGATAATAGAGATTTCATCGGCTATGTCGACTTTTACAGTACTAATTGAAGGACCAAAGCAGGATACAATATTGGTGTAAATGAAATTTAATGGAGCAGAGTCTGAAACTGTTAAATAGCAAAGATTTCAAGCACTGGATGCAATGTCTTGAATTTTTTGCTATGGTGACCAGAAAAGGTGTCTGTCATTTCTCAGCTTGTGCCCTAAATGCTGTGGCCATGTGAGTAAAGTCAACTTACAAGGATCAAAGAAAAAAGAATGAGACCAGCAAACACTAGAAGATCTCACTAAATCCATTAAGAGTTTACTGAAAATAATATGCTTTGCTTCATAGGCCATATAAAATTGAACCAGCAACACAAGAATCAGATCCATGGGTGATTTTATTTATTTTTTTTAATTGAAATCTATCATTATAAATTTTAGCAGAAATGCTTTTCTGGCTCTCTTGCACAGCTCAAAATTTGCTCTCTCTTCATAACTTGGAGGCCCTGCTGTACATCCCTTGCTGCTGCTCTGCTTGTTCTCCAAAGTCCCTGACTGTCACAAACACTCAGCACAATGTGGTCACTGTCTTTGGACAACGATGAACCTGTATTAGGTGTAGCAGTGAGCTGCAGACCTGGACCTGTGCCATTCTGATTTCTGGTTGTCTGGATACAGGTGAGACAGCAAGATGTGGCGAGGGCTCCGTGACAGGGCCCATAGTACCCAGGAGTCTGAGGTTGAGACCGTGTGCACTATGCCCACATCGACTGTCCACATGATCAGCCAGCATCACTCTTGCTGGGAAGACCCCAGTGTGGGACATCATTCACTGAGGGGCTGTATCTCAGTAAAACAATATATTTATGTTTATTACCTTAAGGAATAATCTCAGAGTAACTAATACATATGGAAATGTTGCACAGTTAGTTAATTTTGTTGACAGTCTTTTAGGGGAACTGTATGTTTCCTTAAGTATGCAGATATAACCAGAAGGAACAAGACACCTCAGACTTAAAATTTTAAGAACAGAATCCAAAAAAATCTATCATTATAGATAGTTAAATTAAATCATAAATGAACCAAATTATGCTGGTGTTAACGGCTAATTATCCAAAGGTTAGACACTTTAGTAGTCAAGATATAAAAAATTCTAAGAAGTAAAGGTAAAACCAGAAAAAAATTAAGTGGTTTTTTTTTTTTTTTTTTTTTTTTTCCAACTTGCAATTAACCTTCAGTGTCTGGTGCAAAGCATTTGCTATTCTGAGATGGCTGCTCTCTTGTGAGCTCTCAGAAGAGGAGGTGATAATACATGTGCCCGAATAAAGCTTAGGAGTCACCCTCTTTAGTACTCTAACTGTATTATAAAAGTAGTTGACAGTGCCATCCCTTAAAGACATGTGGGGAGAGGTTACCTGATAGCATTTCTCTACTAAATCTGTAATCACAGCATTGTCTGTGTATTACAAGGTGATAGTGATTATAAACAGGAAGCAGGGAAGAGAAGGAAACAGGATTCTAACTAAGAGTTTTCTTTCAGTGAGGAAATAAGGACTGGTGAGGTTACTTTGTCTTCTCTGCATTAACCACTGTATTAACTACTGATTTCAGCAATAAATTCAGGAGGTGTTTCCTGATCTGTGACTCAGAAATTTTCTTCCTTACATCAATATATTTATGATCATACTTATTATTTTAGAGATCCGCAGTAAAACTAGTAAATATTAAACAAATGCATGTCTAGTTTTTATAGTGTTTGAAGGTAATTATATATGTTACCTCAGTGACAAAGATTTAACTAAATGCAATAAAATAAATATTAATTGACCGTGTAGAAAAGTAAAAACTTACAGCATTTATATAAAAGTATAATTACCATTAAAACATAAAACTTCGTGGTGAAAAAACAAAATGAAATCAATCTACTGTCTGATTAATTAAAAAAACTGTACAGCCTTAATGAACCAACATTTAAAAAATGCCAGAAATAAGGGATAAACCTGAATAATATGTTGCCATGTTTATCTTGAACACAAATGTCTATAGCAAATTATTTGTTTTTCTGAAAATATTCTGTTGTGACTTTTATATGTAATCACCTCCTAGTTATTTTTGGACATCATCCATCCTCTTGGAAGAATGAGTGAATATTCCTGACACTGGGAACAAAACCTGCAATGGCAGAGTCACCAATGTACCACCAGTGAAGCTCTGATAAATTAGGAACTGCTGTGTCCCATAGCTGTGTTAATATATTCCTAGCATTTAAGTTCATTTTTTCAAAGAAAAGTGAAAGTAATGTTTACCTGAGAGATGTTAAACTGTGAGACATGGATCTGGTGAGGCTGAAATCCCCTAACAGAAGTTAGTGTCTATGGAAGCAGTGATGTGCCTGGGCTCCAGTGTTAGCTGCGATCCCTTCCTCTGCCCCGTGCAGTGACTGGGAGAGAGAGCTGGATAGTGGCTTGAAGAACTCAGCACTGGGACTGGCTCACATCTCAGCTGCCACAGTTGCAGACAGTCACCAACCTCTGATAGTGTGAGCTAGGGAGCTGCTGGGTTCTCATAGGCTGCTTTGGCAGGGGCTTTGGGAAAGGAAGGATGGGCTGGCCTTACAGATCTACAGTGTGATTCTTCACAAACATTTCCTGCAGTGTCTTCAGGGGCTCATGGGCATTGCCAAAACTAAATCTTTGTCAGATCATGAGGATTACACATGTCATGCTCACTGTCTTATTACCATTAACACTTTAGATCTCGAGGTGAACTATTAGTCTTTTGTCCTCAGTAGTAGGATGATTTATTAAGAGGAATCATTTGAATTAATTTTCTATATCATCGTATCTCATATGTAATAGAATACAATCAGCTTGAAGAATACAGTTGAAAATATTCAGTCATAGCCTGAGGGTTCTAAAATGGCCAGGTTGCTGTGTCAAACATCTTTTACTATATGGCAAACAACCCCATATTAAACAAAGAGTGATGCTTTCTATGAGGGAGCCACTAAGGAAGGGAGTTCTCTGCCCTGCTCTCTAAGCTCACATTGCTGGGGCCTCTGTGAACAAAGGGTTGTGTCTTCCCCGTTGCCAGTTCCTTAGTATTTCCTGTTTCAATCTGTGAATGGCATTCACCTGACTGTGGTGACATACCCAGGAGGACTCTGGGTCAGCAATGAAACACGATGGGTCACAAAGCTAGGGTCACAACTCTGAATGTGGTCAGCCGTGACTGAAACAAGAGTGAAGTGACCTGGTGTATTCTGAGGTGGAGGTGACAGAGGCTGTAGATCTGGACTGCAGTCATAGACCCAGAGGAGAATCCCTGGAGGAGTCCTTAAGAGGATAGCAATGTGTGGGGAGACAGGCTGTGACTGCAGACCTGTTTCCCTGATGTTCTCCAGAGGCCTTGGGTCAGAAATATTCTGACCCCCAGTGATTTGTTTACCACTTTAAATTTATCCTGATGCTAACATTGTTTCTCAGATGATTCTAAATTATCCTGCAATGAACATTGAGTGCAAGAACCTGGATAGGCCTTAGAACTGTGCTTTTGTTGAGACAAGTAAAACATGCTTCTGTGTGGAAGCCTGGGTCTTGACAGCAGCATTGATCAGGTCCTTCCCTGCCCTCATGCTGTGACAGTGAATAGACGAACCCAGAGAATTTCACAGAGTTCACAGATTTTGCTCTCTTCTGGTTTTGCCTTCTCATTTTTTACCCTGCTTGAAATAGCCCATGCGTTTCTCTTCATTCTTCTTTCTCAAAGGGATCATAATATAGGACTGTTGTCCTCAAGCAAGGCGTGTTCTGAATCCTGAGACCTGCAGTGTTCCTCTACTCATGGGAGAGCAGCCTGATTTTGGTATATAGCCCAAAAGAGAGAAACAGGTTCTCTGTAGGGAAATCTGTGCTCCCCAGGTGTGGACAGCCTCCCCAGGGGACACTGAGTCTGTGCTGAGAAGAGCTAGCCTGCAGCTGGCACAAACCCCTTCCAGCCCTGCTAATTTGCATATCCCAAGAGCCCAGCCAGTTACTTGAGGACTTCTTCACAGGCTGCTTGTCTCACCCTGTGCAGCTTCAGTTCTGATCAGGACACAGCATGGACATGAGGGTTCTCAATCACTTTCTGGGCCTCTTGGTGCTCTGGATATCAGGTAACAGAGGGCAGCACCAGGAATTTACTTAGTTCTAAATGTTCACAGTTGCCTGACATTTCAGTGTTGGCCTGTTTTATCTTGAATATTTATGTTGATACTTGTTATGTTTCTCATTTCAGGTGCCCAATGTGACATCCAGTTGACACAGCCTGCATCTGCATCTGCATCTGTGGGAGACACAGTCAAGATCAGTTGCCGGGCCAGTCAGAGTGTTAGCAATAACTTAAACTGGTATCAGCAGAAACCAGGGCAGGCTCCTAAAATCCTGATTTACTATGCAAACAATTTACAATCTGGGATTCCATCAAGGTTCAGTGGCAGTGGATCTGGCACAGATTATACTCTCACCATCACTGGCCTGCAGCCTGAGGACTTTGTAACTTATTTCTGTCAGCAGTATTACAGTGACCCTCCCACAGTGATACAAGCCATGACATAAACCTCCCAGGGAAGCAGAAGTGTGAGACTGGGCTGCCCCAGCTGATCCTCTTTGTGTCTCCAGCTGGGGGCCAAGTTCTTCAGATGCATCCAGGCTTTGAAGGTCACTGGAAGGATTTGGTAGAAGCATCCAAAAGGCTCCTTCCTTCGCTAACTTCCTTTTAAGCTTCTCACCCCTGATTTAGTGAAAGATACCAATAAATACACTGAAGTTATGTGGATTATGCCTTCATTTTGTATTTACCTGGCAACAGAGATGCTCTCTGAATTCCAAGCAATAAATTTTAAAATTTGTATCACTGTCATTGATTTATTAATTACTTTTTTTTTTATTTTAAAGAGACTAAAATCAAAGTACAACAGAGTAAAGTTAATCCAAACAATACAATGAAATTCATACTGCGCTAAAAACAAGGTAATAAAAATCAACAGTGGCTAACAAGATGTATATTGTTATGTTCAAAATAACTTTAAATGGAATCAGATGTGAGTCAAATGAAACAAAATGGAATAAAATCAAACAAAACAGTGTAAACAATACAGAACATCAAAACAAGATTACAGGATATTAATAAAGATTTCAGACATGCCACTTATACATTTAGAGATGTGCATTCACAACAAAAGTTAAAGTACAGGGATATTTTCAATGTCTCTGCCTCTACATCTGCATACTAGGCATCACTATAAATCGCAACTCTGTCACAACTCATCAAAGTAAGTTTAAGCTCTAAGTTCACAGTTCATGGTAAGTTTGACTCTTGACGTTGAATATTTCAGCAAAAAATCCAGGCGTAATGCACATGTCCACAATGTGTTATGACATAATACTGTCATAATACCACTGTCTTGTACCTGTGCATCTTCCTTATCCTCTATTTTCTGTAAGAGAATCATGTCTTCCCATTGCTATACTTTTTCCTTTTATGCAAAGAAAAAATCCTGTAGATTACAGTATGGAAGTTTTTCAAAAGCTAATTTCAAAATATACTGCTATGGAACAGAAAAATAAAAATAATGAATAATACATTTAGCCACTACTGAGACTCCCTTTATAGAATATATTATTATCCTGCATATCATGGCATAGTAACGTCCTTAGATGGTTTACTTTGCAATACTATGATGCTTTCATAGTACTTTAAAATGAAAATTATACAAATAATACTAATAAAAATGTTAGTCAAGCAACACAAGCATTTGAGAATTTTTAAAGTACTTTTAAAAATAAAGGTCACGTTTAAATAGGAGGTAGGTAACTTACAAGTTTTAATTTTTCTTTTCTTTTTTTTTTGTTTGTTTTTTTCATTTTTTATAGGTATCAGGATCAAACTCATGACTGTCTGCTTGCAAGGCAGGCGCTTATGCCGCTGAGCTAAATCCCCAGCCCCTGACACTTAAAGTTTTTACAAACAGCTTAGAACAGATCTCTGATATCCTGATGCCTTCATTAATATTTCTTTTTGGGCCCAGCTCCACTCTGGAAGATGCAACCATTCCAGCTATGTCTCTGCTTTTCCTGCTCATATCGCTTAGATCTAGTGTGTACATGTGTGTGTGCATGCTTGTGCACAGGCGGGTGGCCATACAAGTCCTTTCTTTCTAACCCCCCAGCACCTTATGAGCACCTGGAGTTTTCCTTCCTATGTTTGCCCCCAAACATGCCCTGGACTCAGTCTGTCCTCTTGTAACTTCCTGGGACTGGCAACCACCCAGCCTGACAGCGACCATTTGCCAGAGCCCTGCATTCCCGTGGACCCTGAGGCTGAGAACACTCAGGAGGCTTTTCCTGCTGTCCCATCTCCGACCAGGTTGTGGAGCATGTCTCAGAAACAAGGCCCTCAGTGGAAGGGTTGCATTCATTCCTTAAACCTCTGTACTCAGTGCTGGACCCATGCTTCTTAGGTGGCATCAGGTTGAAGCAGCAGTTAATCCTATGACCTTGTTCTAAAAAAGATTGCAGAGTCCCCAGCATCTTGGGTCACATTGTGTTTGCTGACTTATTGCTCCTGTATAAACAGTATGCATTCAATAGAAACCATACTTGGATTTTTGACATTTAGTCTTATCCTAGGCAGGCACTATGATACTCTCTGTTGTGCTGAGCAGCAGCAGCTACCAGTAAACCCCATGATCAAGAGAGGAAGCACCCTTCACAGAGTGGCCTGCAGTGTTTGGACATCAGGCTTTGTATTTCTACTTCCTATCATTTCTGTAAACCTCATCAACGTGGGTAAACGAGACAACACTTCATTATAAAACAAGCTCCTGCTAGGTGATTTTGCCCAACTGTAAGCTAATGTAAGTACCCTGAGAATATTTAAGACAGGCTAGGCTAAGTTAAGATGATCGGTAGGTTAGACATACAAGAGTCTCTGCATTCCCCCCTTATGGTATGTTCAAAGCATAATTGAGTTGTTGAGATGGAAGCAAGGAAACCTCTGTATGTCCATTGAATGCCAGTGAAACATAGACCTAGGCCACAGTTTCCTGCGGGAATGGCCTGGTTGAGGTGAATTTCCAAGGATTTCAGATCCAGCTTTTCTCCCATAGCCCTGGGTAGAGCCTTACCCAGCTCATAACCATGATCACCAGCAAGTGAATCTTCACATAGTCAGCCAGTTGGGACCAGGAAGAAAGAGAAGAGGCATGATTTGAGAATCCAGGGACTTTTGCAACATGTACAGGTCAGACTGAAAAAAAAAATTAAACAGTAAAAGAAAGCAGAGGAATTGGGTATGTGGAGGGAGAACTGAGAACAGATACACCCAAATGAAAGGGGAGCATTATGGGAAGGCAGTGAGCAGCAGTGCCTGGCCCTTAGGCGAAGGTTAAAATGCTGGGGCTTGTGACCACCTAGTTAGGTTGATTCTTTGGTAATAATTTATCATTTCCTTTATGTGGTGAGGGCAGAGGGCTGGTTGTCATGGATTGAAGAGTAAAGGATGCAAGCAAGGGGTGGGTGTAGGTGCAGGAAGCTCTTGGAAAACAAGATGTGAAGGGAGAGAAAGAGAGAAGTGAAGTGGACAGGAGCAGTTTGGAGCCAGGGAAAGGAGGGCTGATATTTGATATGTGAAAGAAATAGGTGGGAATGGAAGTCCCAAATGCAGCAAAGGGGAGACGGATAGGGCAGAGGAAGGGAGAGACAGTCTTCTGTAAGAGGGGAATTGTAAGGGTGGGCAGCAGGGTCACATTTTCATCTCCTGGATTCTCCGCACTCCATTTTGGCAGCTCATGGGATCCTCTGAGCTTTCACTTCTCTCAAACCAATCCCACCTTACCTAGGACAGTTGTGCTGAGTTCCAGGGAGACAGGGCAAAAAGGACAGAAGAATTGTTCCTTTCAGTTATGTTTTAATTATATATAATGAGATACAGTGATGTTTCAAACATGTGATAATTTCTGAGTGGCACCATCAGGAGGTTCTGTTTCACTCTGAATTAAAAAAAAAAAAATCACCCTTGCTTCACACAGGGCTGCTGTATTAGGATCCTGAGTATCAGGGTCATGAGGACCTGCAGTGGACTCTCATGAAGTCCTGTATCATTGGCACTACTCCTGTCTGCCTCACAAGTTAGTACTCATCTGAGACAGGCATCCTCATGGCCTTTAAAACAATGGCTATGGGGAGTTTAGAGGAGACTGAATGGATCAAATTGGAGGCAGTCCCCCTTCACCTGGTGCCTCTGATTTGCATGTCTCCTCCACACACAACCCCCAACCCACCTTGACAAGGGTGTGGAGCCTTGCGTGTTACCCAGGGTGTGAACACACCCTGCCAGCATGTTTCTGGTGGCCCCAATGTGGCTGCTTTGGAGCCTGGCTTTCTGGGGAGCAGGTGAGGAGGGAGGGTTCTGGGAGAGGCCAGTTCAGCAAACCCTGTGTCCTAGTTGAAGACAACTCCTACTTGGTTTATAAGAATGCCTTGCTCTGTAAATGAATTTCATTTTTATCCTTTAGCAGTGAGCTGGGACATCACCCTGACCCAGACACCAGCCTCCTTGTCTGCATTTCCAGGAGAGACCTCTCAGTCTCCTTTCAGGCTAGTGCTGATGTAAGCAGAGAAATGTCCTGGATGCAGATTAAACTGGGCCAAAGAATTGAGGCCCTAATATCTCATGTCACCACTGTGGCCATGTGGTTTCCCGACCACGTTCAGCAGCAGAGGAAGTGCAAAGAGCTGTGTTCAGCATCAGCCCTGTGGAGCCCAGGAAATCGGGAGAGTATTTCTGCATGCATGACTATGGGTGGCCAGTCCACAGTGGTGCAGTGCACAGGTCTCCTGTTGTGTGTCCCAGAGACCAGACTTCTAGGAGTCAGACTGTACCTGGCTGACCCAAGTCCTCTTCCAGAGATACACACCATATTCCTTTTTGAGTAGACATAACAGTCTCTGTCTTACTATGGGTCTTTTTCCCTTTCTTATTTTCTATTGTATTCTAATGGTCCTCTATATAACATACCAGGCTCTCTAGAGCTGCAGATGGCAGCTTTCCCTGCAAACCTGGAAGATCACAGAGCCTGGACTGAGCTCCTCCCAGGTCAGCCTCAGAGGACAATTGGCAGCAGGAGGTACCTCCTCCACCCAGCATTCTTGCTCCAGCTGTGGTAACCAGACTTCTTCTCCCTGCATTTTCAGAGGGTGCTAATTCTAGTCATTCTCATTTGTAGCCTTTTACCTCCATCTTTTCTTTTGATTTGCTCCCTCTTTTCCTCCCTGGCTTCCTGATGGCTCACAAACATGCAGCCTGAGTGGGAATCCTTGTTGCTGGGGGAATGAATACAAGAGAGCAAACCAATCTACATGTTGCAGGAAAAGTCTCACCTGAACTCTTGGAGTGTTTTTCTTCATTCTCTTCCTTGGGGAAGATCCAGAAGATTTAATAATTATTTAATTTTCTTTCCTGCAGTGACTTTCACAACTCCCATGGACTTCACCTGTCAGAGCTCAGTCTCCTTCATCTGGTCTGCAGCTCCTTCTGGCCACCATGTGTTTCTCTTTCTCTCCTTTTGCATCTTGCTGTCAGAATTGCCTGCACCCACAGTCACTCTTACCTTGCTGTCCTCTCTGTCTTCAACCTACTGCAACAGCCCTCTGCCTTCACCTTAACACAGCCTCTCTTAGATTAGCTTCCTTTGCCAGCTTCTCTCTGATTACGTTGAAAAAGTATTTGTTTTTTTCTGGGTAACAAATCCAAGGAGCCTCCACACAGCTGTGCCCCCTGGGCCCACATTAGGGGTGGTGTTAGAAGAGGTCCTGTAGCCCCTAAAACCTGTGGACCAGCGGCCTCTGACT